GTCCAAGCCTAGACAGGGGAAGTCGAGAGTCAGAGGTCGGATTCGAACCACGAACTTTCCGGTCAGTAAATTAGCGTTGTAACAGCTGCGCCATCATATTTGTACATGGGTTAGGATACTCCAAGAACGCCCACACCTGGAACGGGGGACGATTAAGGTTCTCAACTAAAGCCCTTGACTCAAAAGCCTAAACAAGGAAACGGTCGTCGGCGTAAGACCACCAGAACAGCCTACATTTTAAGGCGCAAGTCGTCAAAAATGTTCCAACCCCCAACCTGTAGGACCAGGAGACTGTGTTGGTCAGAGCTCTGCCCACTGACCAACCCCGTGTGAGGGGGTCTGTGAATGGCGCAAGTACATTCCCTAATATAGCTCCTTGTGTTTTAGAGGTGCACACCTCGGTCAGTTCCAGTGTCTCCGTGACGAACGGTTATGTGACCACGACTCGTTCTGTTGCCTCACCAAGTTTCTGGAAAGCCAAGTATATGTTCATTCGAATGTGTTTGTCACTTATCTTACAACACTTACAACTCATATTTTCCCCGCTGGTGCTTTGCTGACATCACTACCGAATTCAGGTGAACTATGCAGGTGTATCTTTGCAACCGCGGAAACTGTTTTCCTTCTTTCAAAAATATCTGTCAGTTAGCCTGTAGTTGCAGGGAGACACATCCAGGTAGAAGTAATCGGCGTATTTCTCAACGAGTTCCTGGGCGTTCCCCGTGAGGATTGCCGCATGTCGAGTAACCCTCTGCGGACGGAAAGCTTTGATTCAGATCGTCCTGGAGATTGCCCAAACCTGACTTTTGTCGTAAGAACTGCGGTGCGTCTGTAGTTCAGCTTCTCCTGCCAGACGTTTCAACCATAAACGCGAAATGTCTTATCGAAAGACAACGTCAGTTATTCATTCGACAGAAGTTGCTTTGTGATTTCAAGTTTGAAGCACACTCAAAAATAGAAGAACAAACAAACTTGTATACCCGGTGCCTGAACTGAACTGGAAATTCGTTAACTGGTACTTTGCAGCGAGGAATCCTCAAACGATTTGGCAATTATTCCGAGAACCCGGCCGGGACACTGATCTACTGGAGCTGGGCCTCGTTGGATGGATGTTGTGCCACCTACAGGACTTCTGCAATGACGTAGTGGCTTTCCCAGCAACCTCAACCTGAAAGTGTTGGCTAGGAGATATCCAGTATAATCAGCATCCTGAAGCACTGTTGAAGTAACTTTTTGAACGGAGGACAGTCTTTCAAATTTGAAAACATAGAACCAATGAATTGGATTCTGCACAAGTCTGTTTTCCCTTCCTGGATGGCGTTAGTGAAGTGATGGCCTTTCCAATGATGTACTACTGCGCTGTTACTACGCCAGCGACTTTCGCGGACCACAGATAGTGACTTCCCAAGATGACCATTGCATGAAATGTCATGTAAAAAATGGTTACCACATAATCGTATCAACTTATATGTTCCCAGGTATCACTAATAAAAACTGAAATTTGTACCTCTATATTTGTAATGCACTACTCATAAGGTTACTGAAAATCCACCGACAGCCCACGACCGGTTTCGCCCTTCTTGGGGCTCATCAGGTAGGCGCGCGGTCGCCGAGTTTCCGTCAACCTTATGTTCTACTTGAAACCAACTTGCACGAGATTAGCGAATATACACTCATCTGCAAACTAATTTGGTTCTTTCGAGAGACTCACCTGGGACCCAGCTGAATCTCTAGTTTATGATGTTCTCAGTTATTCCCTCAAGGGTCACCTCGGTTGGGCTATTGCACTCGATTCCTCGGCAATCATCTGCTTTCAGAGGTAGGTGTTTCTTCATCCTATCCGGATTTTTGGATACATGGTAGAGCCAGTAATAAATGAGTACACTTTACAATGATGGTTGAACGTTTCCAGTCTCCAGCTACGCTTAGCTGGACGGGACAATCGTAAGCTTAAGGCGAATGGATGATGAAGGATGAAACTCCCGATTGTCAGTAACATCATCCTGCATGAGGGTGTGTGGCTATTCGTAACCGTAATGCACAGACGGCGCTTAACTCGGAACGGGAACGCGCCGTCCAGTTGGGCGAACGTAGATCCGTTGGTGCGGCGACGAATCTACCCAGCTGACGGTCACATGATTTGCTTTTTGACTCAACAATGCCTGTCACGTCACCTATCCCAGTATACACAACCTTTGTTTCAGTCAACAGCTGGGTAGAAACTCCTAACCCACCACTAACGACATTCAGTAGCGCTGCGATAACACAGTTCGACTGGAAATTCGCACTCACCGGTCTTCTTTTCCCGCTGGTTCCTCTACTGCTGTGCGAGGAAACCCATCTCTGCAGTTTGCTTCAGGATGGGGATCAATTACTGGACAATGGGTTGCTCTTTGCCCCTTTGAAATTCCTATTTCATTGTTTGAAGTTAGACTGATGCACACAAAGGAAACTACTCACAAGGTTGCTGAAAACTATTGGACAGCGCACGACCAGTTTCCCCCTTATTGGGGCGCATCAGGTAGGTGCAGTCCCCGAGTTTCCGTCAACCTTATGATCTACTTAAATTCAAATTGCACTGTTTTCGAGAAATGCACTCAGTTGCAAATCAATTTGGTTTTCACGAGAGACTCAACTGAATCTCTCGTTTATGACATTCTGCAACTGAATGTGCTGCACACAGGCCGCTTCATGATTCAGTGGGCATGATAGTCCAGATATCGCAGTATATTCCCATAAAGGAAACTACTCACAAAATTGCTGAAAACTCTTCGACAGCCCACGACCGGTTTCGCCCTTCCACTTCGGGCTCATCAGGTAGACGCACAGTCTCCGAGTTTCCGTCAACCGTATACAGTTTTCAACAAGGCTCGAATTTTTCAATTTGTGGGAACAACCGGAGGGTTGAGATAAGCGACAAATCATAAATTTTAGGCCCAAAATAGTGATAAAAATAACTGGCCAGCTACAGCACCCTTTTGGTGCATAGTTGTCATGCCACTCGGAGAACTGCCAAGCTGCGCAAGCCCAGACAGAAGTATTCGAGATACCGGGTTTGAATTCGAACCAATCATCTTCTGGTCAGTAATTCAGCGCCTGAACTACTGATTTACCTCAAGTACACCATGGGGGGATAATGTATTGCGCTTTCCGAGACTCGTAACCACTGCAATTTCGTTCCGCGATACACACTCCATTCGATAATAGGTGCGACGCCGTTCACTTTATTTGCGGCAGTCAGCGTTGCAATAGATGGACTGATTGGGCCTATCATCCCTTTACACAAGTCTCTTTCAGGTTACTGACAGATCCTTGACGGAATTTGAGGTTCACTGTTATTCACGGGAAGCTAGTGAAGTGCCATCCACCTTGTGATGGCTAAAATGCTATGCGTAGCCCACAGACCTCGTAATCAACGCTCCTTTTGACCGCGGATTTCCAACGCAGGTTTAATCGACATTCAATCAAGGCACACGGCCACAAACCCGAAATGAAACACGAAACCCAAAGGGAATAAGCGCCGAAGTGAACGCGCCTTAGGAAGTAAAAAACCTCTCTCAGCTGTAACACCTTCCGGTGCCTAGCTGCCATGCTACCCGAAGGAAGAACGAGGGCTAGGATACTGCCAGGTTGCCCAAGCCTACACAGGGAAGTATAGATCTGTACTGGCTGTACCGGTGCATTGCTTGTGTACTGGTCGTTGGATTTGCTATGAGTACTGAAACGTTGCAGTGTTATACACACAGCTAAGGCTCCTTTCTGAATTCTATCGCAAACCTTGAAAATGCGACCTTGCAGAAGGTGTGGTCAAACCAAATCGCGCAGTTCTACTTACTGGTAACTGATCTGTTCGGTCAAGAAGTCGAAACGGTAGTCAACCATGATTTTTCCGTCAGTTAGGACATTCTAGTCAAGTAGCGTGAAACGCTTGAAACCCACTCAGCAACTTCCTGGGCTTCGGTTGTGGGGTTTTGTGGTTTATGTATTTAAGTTCATAGCCACACCTCTCGTTTGAACGGTCGTGTTCTGGCGTAATTATTCCGGTGAGTCCATACCAAAGGGAGGAAGCACTGGACTCGAGTTTCTCTCTTATTAGAGCTCATCAGCAGTGCATATCCAATGGCCGTGCCGGGACTGGAACCCCGGACATCTGACATGCGAGTCGAGCGTGTAACCACTACTCCATAAACGCATCTGAATTTTCACGGCTGAACAGGCGAACGTGTTCCCGACACGGTCATTGGATATGCACTGCTGATGAGCTCTGATAAGAGCGAAACTCGAGTTCAGTGCTTCCCCACTTTGGTGTGGACTCACCAGAATAATTACGCCAGGACAGGAGGACGACCGTTCAAACGAGTGTTTTGAAGGTGAACTAAATACATATCCTGCAAGACCCGAGGCCAAAAAAGTTGCCCACTGGGCTTCAAGCGTTTGTGGCGCTACCGGACTGGGAAGTCCTGGCTGGCGGGTCAATCGATCGTCACAACCATAATTTTGTCTGGATTTATGTTACGAGCCCTTAACCGGCAGTTTTTCTGGACTGACATCACAGTTTCCAAGGCAAAGACAGCGTGGTCGCCAGCAGTTCAGCTCTCCACACCCCGTTCAAGGTACACCATTGCGACTACCGGTGTAACGGTGATACTACTGACGGGGGTATTATGTTTTCTTGTAAATCCGCTTTGCGTCGCTCCAAAACTGATATCTATTGCGGAATTTGTGGAGTCGCTTTGTAGAATTTGCTTGGATTTGAGCAACAGTCAATGAATATCCAGGAAAGTTCAGAAGAGGATATGGATATTCCGTTTTTGTAAATAAGATGCAAATGAGAGTTTTGCTTCCCTGTCCAATAGTCTGTAACTGATCAGTTGGGGTTTCCTAATAAACAACTCCGGACCGAATGCCTTCGTCCTTTCACCGGTTTCAGTGTTTTGACAAGACCACTGATTCGCAACTATTGTTACCAAGACGTCAGCGAGGAAAACAATAGGAGTGATTGTCACCAAGACTGGTCATTGGAGTTATTCACCAGGTGCCAAGTACAACATGCATGCCAAATAGAGTTTCAAAAGGGACACAACTGTACAAAAAAAGGGGAAAACACATGCAGTGCAGTGCAGTGCAGTGTAACCAAAAACCACAAAATAGGGAAACACGAAATGGCTAGCAAGGCAATTACGGAACAAATCAACTGTCACCACACGCAATTAGATCAGCAGTTCATGGAGGGCTATCAAAAACGGTTTGGATACGGGGGTAGGGGGCGGGGAACAGGCACTTGACCGACTCGGATTGCGTATGGTACAACAACAACGGTCGAGCGGATTTGGGCTAGTGGCTATTGCTGTTGGGTTTGTGGGCGGGATTTGTTGACTTTACGACGGCGTACATCACGCTGATTGTTCTGGTCCACAGCACTGTCCACGCCATCGCTCAGCTCTTCCTCTTCCCGCCTCACTAGAGAAAGAAAGGAGGAATAAGCACGGACAGTGCGTATGACAATGCGTCAGCAAAAACAAGGAGCATGTGGTTCAGTTGTGTTAGGCTGCCTTTGTGTGGGTAGAAGCCAGGCAATTGAAAGTACAGTGCACATGCTCTTGTCAGGCCTTGATTAGCACAACCTCGAAGGCAACAACGAGAAGAGCCACAGCGGAAGGGAAGACAGCATGTGAAATTATGTTCAGGCGAACAGAACTTACCCAGCACACATTTAAGCAACTAGATTGAATGAAAATCGAAAAAAATCGTTCAGCTGTAGCACGCTTCCGGTACCTGACTGCCATGCCACCCGAAGGAAGCATGAGGGCTGGGATACTGCCAGGTTGCCCAAGCCTAAACAGGGAAAGTCGAGAGGCAGAGGTCGGGTTCGAACCACGGACCTTCCGGTCAGTAAATTCGCCCTCTAACCACTTGGGCCATCTCGCCCCCTAGATTGAATAAGAGGTTTTGTGTCAGTTTGTGTGAGTGGGGTTAGAAACGAATATGAGAATAACCTGTGAATATGTTAGTGCGGCCAGGCAGGCACGTGAATAGGTATCCTTTACTTTCCCCTTGTTCATACTGTACTATAGTGTCAAGGTGTCTAACGAAGCATCTAATCAAGGCATGTCAAGCGAAAAACTGTGGAGTTAGCAACCGAAGAACCCCGTCACGATGGAAAGGTGTTTAGTCAAGCATCATCATCAGAGACAACAACAGCGGTGTTGGCACTGATGCTTCATTGCCGTACAACCCTACATCATCATCATCATCATCATCATTATTGTCAGCTGTAATAACCGCGTGCTCGTCGTACAGTGGTTGCAGCTGCCGCAGTTTCGTCCACCGATGATTTGCGAGGGGAGGTCGGTAGCTGCTAATAATTGGTGCATAAATCCAGCACTGTCAGTGGGCTGTCAAGTAGGGGGGTTGGGAAGGGAGCTATGCATTGAAGGCAATAGCTTGGATGCACGAGCGCCATTGAGGGCGCGACTGGGTCATGTCTGACAATGTCTCTAGCCATTGATGTGGCCCGTCTCGGGGTCCCCATCCAGGAAAACGGAAATGACAAGCGCAACTGAGTTTGCTGGTAAGGGCTTTCATACTTCGCTGCCAAGTCATTGTTTGACCGCCTGTGGCTCTCTTCCACCCTTCACGTTGTTGTGCGAAAAGAGTCCTTCGAGGAAGTCGGTCACAACAACAACAACAACCCTACAGTTCATCTGATGATATTTCAAGCCTTAGGGTGGATCGCTCAGCTGTAGTACCCTCTCGGTGCCTAGCTCCCATGCCACCCGAAGGAAGCATGAGGGCTGGGATACTGCCAGGTTGCCCAAGCCTAGACGGAAAAAGTCGAGATGCGGCGGTCGGGCTCGAAACACGGACCAACTCACCCCCAAGCACTCTAAGGTGGCTACACCTTCAAGTGCTCAATCGGACAGTCTGGAAGGAAAATGACAACACGATCGCCACAAGCAACGACAACCATTTCCTGCAGCTGCGCTCCTTTTCCCTCTTGTTTAAAACAACAGCTAAGCCCAATTTGAGACTTGTTCAAATGCACGAACGTACTTAATCCGCGGAAAAAACGAATATCACCAAATGATGAAACGGCCTTGATAAAATCGGTTCAACGAGCACTGTGAAAGACACATACCTTTCTTCTTTTCCTTCTTCTTGGCACCGCCTGCATCTTGACTGGCGCCACCTAGCCAACCACCCTTGGATGATGAATGGGACTGCTTGTCACGTCTTGATCGCTGATGGAACGTGATGAAGTTCCAAACCATGTAAGCTTGCGAGATAAACAGGAAAATCATTGCAGTGGATCTGGAAAGCGTAGAAAATCGAAGGTAAGTAAGATTTGTGGCAAACGATACTTGGATGATATGGGAAAACGGACTGTTGGCTTATGAAAAAAAACAATGGTAAGCGCCACCAGGGCCACAAAAGTGAGAGGTGAATTCGCCTATGCTGGAACTTTCAAGTTATAATAATACAAATACAATAATAATAAATAACCCTTTCTGTGTCCAACTGCCATACAGCCCGAAGGTATCACGAGGGATGAGATAGTACCAGGGTACCAAGCCTACACGAGTTCGAACCACAAAACTGTTCAATAAGTTCGCTCTCTGACCACTCAGCCATCTCGAAAATGAGAACGATGTCAACTGTATATTCTAGGCAAAGTTGTCGTCCGGCACCATTTTAAAAATAAGAGTTTCGAACACCTTCTGGCATTCTCCTCATTATCTCGTCGATCACGAAACTATATGGGAATGAAGTGCACATCCTTGAAGGATGGAGGGATCTGAAGTGCTTTCCGTATACCCACACACTCAAGACACTCTCTCTAAACCCAAACTCTCTGAAGGAACTCTCCAAAGACATCAACGGTCAAACATCAAGCTTTTTGGCGTCCTCAGCGTGCAGCGGCCAGGATTCTGACCCGCATAATAATATGGGGCGCACCGCAGCATTGTAAACTCGACCCTTGACGAATAAGCTTATGCCACACCTACACCACAGGTGATGCAGGTTCACGACAGCTGATCAGACGTTCCGAATTCAAACGGGAATATCGTCTCTGACTAGCCCATCGACATTGATACGGCTTCCAAAGTAGAACGGTTTGCTTGCTACATCGGTCGGCTCATTCGCAAGCACACGGCTAGGGTTCGAGCCCGCCTAATCTTACAACAGCACTTTGCGGGTGTGAAGTGCAGACTAAACTGAGGCACAATTAGATAAATTATTTAATACTGTCTGCATCACGATGGCGTCAGATTCAAGCAAAGCTATGTCAACTGCGCACTCAATATCTGTCAGAAGATAGCCCGGGAGCATTTCGACCCCACAGACGTTAGAGACTGGAAGTGAGCTGTAGCACCCTTTCGGCGCCCAACTGCCATATCACCAGAAGGAAGCACAAGGGCTGGGATACTGCCAGGTTGCTCAAGCCTAGACAGGGAAAGTCGAGAAGCAGAGATCGGGTTCGAACCACGGACCTTCCGGTCAGTAACTTCGCGCTCCAACCACTGCTCCATCTCGCCCAGTACCACAATCATATGCTATTATTATTATTATTATTATTATTAGCAGTATATGATTAGCACCATAATCATATAAATGACGAAGCTGAGCGGCACCACTTACTGTGGTGACCTTAGGCGAAAGCCTCCCGTAGGCCTCCACACGTCCACGGGAGTTGGCGTGCAGCACCCTACGGAGGGTCAAGAATCTATGGGAGCACCCTCGCTTCACATACACTGCCCCAGTGCCTCGCAATATCAGTGCTTCTTGTTTGAAGAATTGGCCCGGGTAGCTCTGGATAGAAATTGCCCTTCTCAGCGTCAAAACTGCAGTCCGTTATGGCCTAAGCCGACACTACAAACACGCACCATTATTTACGTAGTTTGGCATGCAGTATGATTGAGTTGGATAGCCGAATAGCACAAACACGACTGCTCACTGGAATCCAATCCAGCGAAACGCATTCAGCTCCGAAGATGAGTGCAATAGACACATTCCACGAGTTACCGCATCTGGGTCACCAGATACAAAGAGGTAGAAATGTCGAAGACTTGGGTTCGTTCTTGGCGTTTGGATGCATAACCGCGCCTGGGTCTTGTACGCGTGTTTCGGAGATCCAGCATTTTGAGGAATTTTCGAGGAATATACGGCTTCAGCGACCATTGCATGTTGGCCAAGTTGGCACCAAGTATTGATGTTGGAAGCTTCTATGTAGAAAGGATCTCGTGGATTCAGCAAGATGTTATTTTGTTTATTGTTAATAGGTAGCGGCGTGCATAAGTGAAACCAGCCAGATAACTGACAATCAAATGGTGGGAAGGGGTTGGAAAGGGACATCGGTGGACAAAGAACTGTGCTGAAAAACGATACTTCCTAGTTGCCCAGGCCAACGAAGGGATTTGGGTGAGTTACCCCGCCTTGTGCGTCTGACTCAAGCCTGACCTGCGAAACAGCGGACGATAGGATTTCCTTTGAGAACCCCGAATAAGTCAAGTCTTACCTGCTCGGTTGCAGAGGTTAGCCTAACCCGAGAACGCAGAGGTCAACGCATTAAGGTCTAACTCCTGATGCGGCTGCACACAGTGACTTTTGAAATATTTCGACCGTATTGAACGATGTATCAGTGGTCACGGTCCATTGCTGGGTGATCAGTGTGTGCGGTTTTTAGGGCCGACCTTTTCTAATCCGCAATTCTACGGATGAAGGCAGTATCGCTGTCTCCGTGAATATGCTGGTCTGCTGGGGGAACACCTTACTGCCTTCACACTCCTATCACACAGTACGAGTTTACCTTCACGACTGCTGTCTGACTATCCCCCATTTACCTGTGGTTGTACCTCGTTCCAGTCCGCGCAGCCTGCAGATTCACTGAAGCACTCACGGGGGCGAGATGGACCAATGGTTAGAGCCGCGAATTTACAGGCCGGAAGGTCCGTGGTTCGAACCCGACATCCGCCACTCGACTTGCCCTATCTAGGCTTGGGCGACCTGGCAGTATCCCAGCCTTTGTGCCTCCTTCGTGTGGCATGGCAGCTAGGCACCGAAAGGGTGCTACAGCTGGACGAAGCACTCACGCCTGTTCACCACATCAAGGTGGTAGCGTTAGATATGGAAGACCTATGATTATCGCACTCACTGCGTGTCCCTTTTTTCGAAAATGGGCACTGTCATCGATTCCCCCCCCCAGTTGTCTGGAAGTTTCTTTTCCCCAAAATGCAAGCATATAGATGAGACAAGTGCTGACTGGGGACTTCACTGCCATCTATGAAGAATGCGAGTGGAAGGTCATCCGGATAGTATATCGACCATGTTTGAGAAACCATTTGCAGTCCTGAATTTCTGAGGCCATAGGGGGTTCCAGGTTTACGGTTCAGCTTCAGTTTAAGTATCCAATCGAGTGACCGCAGGTGGCCACTAGAATTATCGTTCAGTGTTCGGCCTAGCAGTCGAGGCACTCAAGATGGTCGCCTCAATTTGATTCTTGGTGGTTTCGTCCACAGGCGGTTTCCGGAGGCGGGTCGCACGAATAACTGAAATAATATTCGGGCAATTCCGACTTTCTGGGCTTCGGCTATCTCCCTAGCTTTCCGTGTCAACCAGTTTTCATGGTCGGCAGGCAAGCTCACTTTCACTCGACATTTGATTACTCGTCGAGTCAAATTGTGTTCAGGATCGGAGGGGATATTTCTCTGAAATTTAGGCAGTGCCGCTGTTCGGTCTGATATCTAGGGCTTGAGTGAGCTTTATAGCGCCGTGCCACAGACAACCCTCCCCCGGAGCAAATATGTGGGGATATCTCTCCAGTACAAATTCGCATTGGACGGTGAAGCAGTTGGAAGAGGGTTCACAAGATATATATGTTAAATTCGTCTTACTTCGGGATCTGCCAGAGGCTCAGTTGCTACGTCAGTTGTCCGCCATTATCCGGTCCCGTTAAGAAGTGACTTCGGATGAGCGCGTGGTTGAAATTCACGTGTTATTAATTAGGAGGGGGGACCCTCATGAAAAGGGGAAGCACGGAGGCGTCAGTAGTAAATTGTATGCAGCAAGTAGGGCAACGTAGTTGATGACAGCACGCGGCGGCCGATACGTCATGAGAGCATTGTTAGATGTAGGAATCACGGTGGTATGTGGCTTGGGACATTGCCAATGAACCCAGACCTAGAAAGGAGGACGATTAGGGTCTTCGATCAAAGCGGCGATGTTTGGAAGGTAATGGTATTGCATTCCCATTTTTTGAAGATCACGTGACCAACAGGTTCCTACCTCCAACCTGGAGGTCCAGGAGACTGTGTTAGCCAGACCTGTAACCGCTGATATAAAAGGTATGAGACTGTGAGCGTCGCACGTACACCCCCATCCCCGGCAGTATAGTTCAAGGGGTTATGGGAGCACACAAGCCGTCGTCACTTTTGACACCGCCAACTACAATTGACGGCCCCTCGATACCAAGCATGCCTGAACAAGTTAGGACCGAGAAGCTGGAGACCGTTCAGCTGTAGCACTCGTCCGGTGCCTAGCTGCCATGCCACCCGAAGGAAGCATGAGGGCTGGGATACTTCCAGGTTGCCCAAGCCTAGACAGGGGAAGTCGAGAGGCGGAGGTGGGATTCAAAACACGGACCTTCCGGTCAGTAAATTCGCGCTCTTACCACTTGAGCCGTCTCGCCCCCAGAAGCTGGAGAGATCGAGTCAGAAAACAGGTTATTTTATTCCATGCTGACCCAACCGTCACGAAGAGACTGGACCTTTCACATACTTTTCCTTTCCTCTATTCCCACCTCATTGGTAACTTCATCCTTGTAGGTCCATCAGTTAGGACTGATGTTTCTGTTCGTCCGGCGTCGGTTTTGCAAGTAACATGTGCACGTTATCCAGCGCCGGCATCCTCAGACATCTTGGAATCAATCTTCAAATCTCGACGCCCAAACAACCTGACCGTATTCAGTATCCGCACTCTAAAGCAAGTAGGTCAACAAGCTGCTCTTGCATTCACACTGGACTCGCTTGGCACTGACGGGTGCTGCGTGTCAGAAACAAGAATTCAAGATGCAAGCGCAGCGGTTGAGCTAACCGCCCCATCACTTTCCACTGGCGATTCGGAGGCTGTGGTGGCAGGATGTGCAGGGGTTGGTATCGTCCCAATTTACCGGGTAGAAGTACCCTTACTTTAGTGGACACCCGATGACAGTCGCCTCTGCACGGTTCGTTTGGCAACGTGTGCGATATAGTATGGCAGTGAAGCATCAGTGTCGAACACTGATGTCATGCTGTCTATGGTGATAATGATGGCCAAATTGGCGTGTTTTATAAAAAAGAATTAAGAAAATAAAGAGATGAACCGAATTTCTCTGTATGAAACGCCGCCAGAGTCTCCATTCCAAAGGCTGTTGGAACGCGAAAACAAAGCAGGACCGTTTTTGATGCGATGCACGTGTTGCAAAAGGGCAAAATTTTTAAACGCAGGATTGCTATCTAAACCCACTGGCTGCGGTTAATTTTAGTGCTCGATTAGGTGCGATTTGGAAGGTGCCAGGTAATGCGTTGCTCACACGTGCTCAAACTTTGTGCCTGTTATAAGAGACGATCGTTGTTGTCAGTTCTGGGGGCATTCACAACAAACGTCCCGTCAAGACGTGTCTCCTGCTTTTCGGTCTTCCCCAAAAGAGTATTCTAATCGCCAGCAACATCAGTACCTTCTCACACCTTTAAATTCGTAATTTTCACATTTGTTTTGGCGTACACGGAGATGACAAGCTGTCCGGTACCGTGTCGCATTTCGGCAGAGCCACCCAGTGTGACTGCACAGTCGACTTTTGACAGAAACAAACTCAAGCCGAACGTCTTTGTCTCGCTCACTCGATTGAAACCATGGGCGACAGTTCCGGATCACCTCAAATCCGAGAGTAAACCGCGACTAAAATGAGATGCCTCAGACCATGTTCAAATGAACCACCGTGGTACGGTCCTTTGCGACGCAGCGCACATCCAGTTTTGAAGAAAGGGGAGGAGTGAGGCCGGTGGAACTATCTAACAAATAGTACAGACACCGAACGCTGCAACGTTGAACAGTCCATGTTATCGACGTGTTTGGGTTCCGTTGTTCTGAGTACATGGCTAGGAATCTACGCTGAGATTATGGAGCCACGGACACGCTGAGTTGTATTCTCAGTGGCGTCAATTATAGTTGGAACTGATCCTAAGCTGTGTGGGCAGACACTACATCCCAGTTACTCAAGCCGGAGAAGCATGCTTGAGGTAACCCACCTCGAGGTTTTGATTCGAAAATTTAACCATAAGACAGGGGGAACGTAGGGTTCCGTTTCAGGCTCTGTTCTCGATCCAACAGTCCGGCTGTATGATGCTTGCCCAGAAAAGCATAACCGTCTGACGCAACCCATCGCCGCCTGATCCATCTGACAGGATGTCTAGATCGTCCAAACGCTCCAATCATCGAGACTGAATAAAGAAAGGAATCCACTAGCGAATGTACACTCATTTGCAAACTAATTTGGTTCTTTCGAGAGACTCACCTGGAACCCAGCTGAATCTCTTGTTTACGATGTTCTCAAGCAAGTGAGTGTGGGCTGTCGATGGATTTTCAGCAACCTTATGAGTAGTACATTACAAAGGAATCCACTGTTTTCAACGACACGACTATACACTGTCGTGTATAGTCGTCGGTTGTCAAGTGCACATGGCTAACATGCGGAACGAAAGGGGTCAAATAGTCATGGAATTATCATACACAGTAATGTCAGTGCAATGAAGCCTGCACAAAATACATAGAGGAAAGTGGTTAAAGTGGTCTTACCGGATTGTTGGAGTGTTGAAATTCCCTGTCGTCAGGTCGATTGTTGGGACGCTGTTTTTACCTAGACCATAACTATGAACATTTGAATGGCCACAAGTATGAGCTTACTGCAAAACTAGAAACGGAAGGATGATGCAGGCCATCCGGACGGGGATGAACATTATGTTCCAGATCATGAAGCTATCGTGTGACAATTGAAATTCGCCAGACATACCCCACTGACGCAATCCTAGGATAATCCGCTAGGTGTAATGCACGGGCAGAGTGCAAGAAGACATCAGTAGCATAGTGTACGATCAACAAAGCTATACAGAGCTTCGAAAGTCTGAATGTAAATTAGGAACGACAAACAAGACTCACCCCCCGACGTATGCGAAGCCAATACCAATTATAAACATGGTTGCATGTAGAATACGGGCTGGAATGAGTTCCTAACATACGCAATACACCGAATAATCTAGTCATTACCTTTTTCACACGCTGGAAGTAGAGCTCTGGAAAGTCATGTATCCAGTAGCAAATCTGGTGGGAATCAAGCAAGATAAGGAAGGCCTCACCTGAATTAGCAAAAACATCTTGGTCCAAAACGGTAACAGCGAATGTGGGTATCCCTCCCAAAGACTGCTCAAGCTAGGTATCAGGTTTTCATTGATGACGTTATAAATTCCCCAAATGACGGATAGAGTGTAGAAGCAAGTCAAATGTGCTGATTCATTGAACTTTCCCAGGCGTATCTTCGTGAGGTTGAGCTTTTTCTCAAAACGCTAAAACTCCAGTAAAAGAAATGTCAGACCTACGTCAAATACATACTCCTGCAACACAGCGTGTGTCACAATGCATATCAGCGAGTAGAAAAACACGAGGCACACGTCATACCGGCCAGGACTATATAATGGCGCGGCACCCGGGTGCTCTGCACGAATAAGGCCTGAGTCTCACTACTTACCTTCGTCTGTTACGTTGTGCTGTATGAATACGAAGTTCGAAGATAGTGAGTGTGTACCCTTTCATTTTCATGTCAGTGGCTAAACCACGTCCCTTACCTTGTATAACAACCCAATCACAATTATCATGGCGACAAAACTGATGATATCTCCATGGTTTGTGATGACGAACTCATGGGAAAAGTAAGGGGGATTTTTCGACTTCTTGCGTGCTGTCCGTAAGGTCATGCTACGTCAAATTTGCAACGTCAAAATTAATTCGGAAAGCCGCTCCTGATTGACACGATGTCCTTGACGTAAAAAGTTCGATCTAGTTCAACGTCAAAACTCGCTCCTCGCGAATCCAATAGTACGAAGCGATCCCTGATGATCCATAGCGGCTGTGAAATATCATCACACACCGTTTAAAATCTGAGATTTATCATGGCGAATAAAGTAAGTAATGGCTGCTGGACCTTGCACGAATAGCAGATGAGAGCTGACGGATATGATCAAGGGTAGGAATTCTAATCACTTCCAAGCTAACCTAGTCTAGTTCCGATAGCGGAGAGGTTTTCTTGTCTGAAAGTTAAATATTTCAATATTGTTTACCAATCTAACATTGTAGTATGTTCTCTAACTTAGCTGCACGCCGAGTACTTCGTATATATGTATGTGGTGGGCTCGCTTGCATGCGAGCAGTGCATTTCAGAAAGTCCGTTGACGCCTCGATGCACAATGCATTTTTCTGCACAATCCCTGCGGGAGAAATGGAAAATTTAACGTCAAAATGTTACACTACTTTGTATATATGCTCAGCCTAAAAATCCCCCTCATCTGCCGTCATTCTTTGCGATTCGTTTTCATCGATCTCTTTTGAAAATTATTAGCGCACATTCGGCTTTGAACTTCGTGTGCTATGGCTTCGGAAGTTGCTTTCATTGAGGAATTTGTGGGTGTATCGTTTTCGTCCTTCACTGCATTTGAGAAGACTATAAATCAATACATGAAGGATAATTTGTGGTATTTGTGCGTTCAAAGAAATGATAGGCGAAACGTATCCGGTTAAGACCTTCGTAATGGACAAGTTGGCGGCGTAAATCCGTGCAACAAGAGTCGTGTTCGACTGTGACGTTATGCTTTGCTACTTTCATGTCCGCAAAGCCATCAGGAAGCGCGTATGTATCATTTAATATCCATGTACTTTCGGTTGTAAACAAATTCTGCGAATAGCCGGCGCATATTTTACCGCATGGCTCGCCTGGACAACGCTGTACGGTAGGTTTTATGTCCATCGTATTATAAGCACACAGATTCCGGAAGGACCTGCAGCTTCTGCGTCTCACAAATCCTTGATTTCTTTCCTATCTTACGCCTCGCTGGTTGTACATCATCCGAAAATGGGCCATACGCGCACAGTCCGGAATGGTTCATTTCGGTAATGTGACCAAAAACCGATTGGAGAATGCGAACGGCCGCTTTAAAGATCGCGTGCACCACTCTGACACGTTGGAGCAGGCAATTCAAAAGGTGTCCCGGCACGCCGAATGGCTCATGCGGGGGTTCGAGATGCATACGTCGTACCCCTGCGACAGGCGGCAAACTTCAAAACGTGGTCTGTCGAATGACGACATATGCATGCTCTCTCGTTTTGAGGCACTCGGGTCCGCGACCGCCGCGTCTGCGGTATGAAATTGTTGGAACAAATAAGGTGGGGTCGAGCTTCGTAAGCTAACTTACAGTTCGTGGTGCAAACACCCAGATGCTCCCAGACTGTCGACACCTGTGCTGGAGAATGCATATACCCTTTCTATCAGGCGATGTGGCTCCCCTGCGTACACCTGTTCTCTGTATTTCGAGATCAGTCCGTTCCGAGCAGTAAGAACTATTCATCATTGACTTTCCTTAGCTTGCTTTCCAATCCACTAACGATGGCTGTCGGATTACAACCTACCGGCAAAAGGTGTACGCCTTACATTTGCTCCCAAACTACCGCCGACAGCTTTCGACGGTCTTCGTAAACAACTGAATCGAGTGATGGATAAGCTTCAGAGGTTATAACCCAGTAGGGCCACAGCCATCTTTAGGCGATTGATTGTTCAGGGACAAATCCTGCTGCGTCAAGCCTCAAAGTCTGCAACCGACGACCTACCGTTGGTGGTCGTGGATACTGCACCTCAACCCAGATGGCGGTCTGGAAACGCTGACTTGGGGTTTTGTGTACTCTGTGACCGGCCGACTACTACCAGTGACCACTGGTTTCAACGGATCGCGTGTCACACACGCCACATTGTTGCGACGGTGAATCTTGCCCACTGTGTTGTGGTGCTCTTCAGGCCTGTCCCAAAGGTGAGTCCACATGAAAATAAATTACTTTTGCTCCTTAGCCTCGGGCCCATCCAGAAAACGCAGGGGTGTGCTTGCTACCCGGTCCGCAAAGAGGGCGTCTTATGATGCTGACCTGGACCGAAGCAGAGTCCCAGCACAGTGTGTTCCGGAACCCTGTGTGCGTCCGTGTTTTCGGGTCCACAGAAGAACAACTCGGCAGCCGTGAGTAAATGTCTAACAACTACGACTAACTCTGTAGAGCGCCAGCTAGATGAAAGAGACGAAGGTGACTTCATGTGACGCATCGGCTCCGAAAAGTTTGTCTGTTAATTAGGTCCTGTGCATTTCATGTAAGTGTCGTATTTCTTGAGAGGTGCAGTAAACAGGCATGCGAAATAACCGCTGAAGCTGGCATTGTGTGAACAGGCATCTACGACAGCATAGTTACTGCAGTGAACTTTGGGGTAAGCATCTCTACCAGCTTGCCGGCCGCCCGCCTCATGGTAATATTTCGACAACTTGAATTACATCTTCCTCTCATTCCGAGACTTCAACGGTCAAATGAATACTACTTACGAAGAAGAAAATGCGCCTCCCAAAAGGACATATGTCCACTTAAAAACGGCCAATATATCTCAACATTCAGTGACGTCCATTTTGATCCTTTTCTCCGTTACAGATGGATGGGTTCTATGTGGCTAGTTAGCTAGGCATCGTGTACCCTTATCCGCATGTTATTCATGTGTGTCGGTCAGGTTCGTTCAGCTGTCCGCTATGATTGACGTATGTTCCATGGTCCTAATCGATAAAACTTGAGGCCTTCCTAGCATAATTCGCAACCTATAACGGAAAACTCTGGTTTTTGCTAGCAAACGTGCACGACGTTTAGCAAATAATTGACGTGCTTTACGGAATTTTACTGGCAAAAAAGAATCATCGACAAAAATTTGTTTGCACGAATGCGCCTACGCCTATGTTGCATCCCCAAGAGCCATTTATATTCCAGAATGTTGAGGAAATTTTTTCCGATGGAAAATACCTGAAAGTTACGTTTATTGTATGTGAGTCAACGTTTTCCACACTTCGCGATTTTTATCATCAGGTAACGTATTCACAGTTGGTGGTGTTTATTGACCTTGAGATTTCGCTCATTTAACAAATTGCCTAGTAAATGAATGATTTTCAATAATACAGCAGCATATACATTATACATAGACATTCTAAACTATGAAGTGGCAAGTCTCAAAATGCCGTAGATTTGGAGAAATCAATCTCATTGTGCGAATCGCAAGCTGCTCAGAATTCTATCCAGTGGGGAATACACCCAGGACCGCGCCAAAAATACTCAGCATGAAGAAAACATTTAAATCATTTGGCCACATTTTAACTTCCTTCTCTGCGTTCATTTTCGTTTTCACCGTTTTTCAGAGGCTATTTATAATCTTTTGTGCAGAAGTGTCTCTTAACTCATCCCATTCTTTCATCGTTTCATTTAGGTTTATTTACATTAGTTCTAAGCAGATTTTTTGCGTTGTATCGCCGTTTCTCTACTTTGTTACCCATCGCAGGAGCCTCCGCTTCGCAAGCGCAAGGTCCCGAGCACATAACCACTGGCGATTTCTAAATTTCTTCGGCTCCGTTTCTTCCCTAATGGACACAGTGAGGAAACATGAAGAAGCAAGAGGACAAAAAGTACGTCTAGTTTTAAGTGACTGTTTAACTGGAATGGAGTGCGCAGAACTCAGGGGCAACAGATCTCATAACCAAACGGAACTAACCATCGAGAGCTCCGAATAGGCGAGTAAAAAATTAGTTATCTAGGGATATGAAAGAATTTGGAAATGGGCCTACCGGGGCGAGGGATATATGTAGGTAAATAAACGTAGAGCACAAGCCGACAAATTTCTCCTTAGACGACATACTGCTCACGCCCTTCCTCATTCATCTAAATTCGTGCTGGGCGACTTCAACCTACCGGATATTTCCTGGTCACCCACTCTGGGCCCTAGTCGTTACGCCTCACTGCTTGCCCAACTTAGTCTGGAGGGTTGGTCTCAGACTCTACGCAGCGCCACACGTGGCCAACACACCCTAGATCTAATGTTTTCAAATGAGGGTCATCTGGCTACGACTGCAGTTGGTCCATGCTTTCCAGGTAGCGATCACTGCGTTGTTTCATGTAACGCAGCCAGGTTTAGTGAAACTGTTCCCCCGAGACCATCTTTCTTTCACCTCCTGACACCGGACATCTTGCTGGCTTTTTCGTCCCTGCTGGCCTCCCGGGACTGGAACGACTTCTTTCTCTCGTCAGACACACAACGGATTTGTGATATCTTCTACCAAAACCTATTGACCTCTCTCTACCTTGCCTCTCCCATCAAGAGTTTTTACCCTGGTTCCTCTCGACATGATAAACTATTGAAAGCCTTGGAAAATAAAATACGCCGAGCCGGCAGAGAATATCGGAAATCTCGCGATTTCTCATTAATACTTCTCATCAACAAGCTTTCAACTGACCAAGAATCCTTACGGGTATCCCTCGAATGCCGAGAAGAGAACACCGCTCTCAGGGGCCCTTCTAGCTGTAAATTACTCGGCCGCCTATTTCGTGGACGCTGTACCCCAAACTGTCACCAAGTCACATGTCTGAGCTCCACCAATGGTAGCTTCATCACTCATCCTGTCAATATAGCCGACCACTTGAATGCTTACTTTGCCAGCTGCTACTTGCCTCCTTCTCCTAAGTTCAATCCTACAATCCCCGCCTCATATTCCACCTGTCTACAACAGAGTAACCGCCCGACTCTGAGCAGCTTGACTATCTCCCTAGCTGATGTATCAGCCCTTCTTCAAACCCTCAGAGACTCCGCCGTGCCGGGAGGTGACGGCATACCATCGCGTGTCCTGAGATATGGCGGTCAAGATGTCAAAACCCTTGTCCTAAATCTTTTTACTCACTCAGTAAACTCTGGAATCGTCCCCTCTCAATGGAAACAATCTGTCGTTCGCCCCCATTTTAAATCCGGATCCAGGCAAACTGCTTCAAATTACAGAGGGATCCACCATACTCCTCTTTTAATGCGAACCCTCGAACGTCTGGTAAAAGGCCCTTTAATCAGGTTTCTCCTAGCTACAAACGCCATAGATGATCGACAGTATGGATTCCTATCTCAGAGATCCGTAAACGGCTGCCAGCTTCACTTTTTTGAGACCATCACAGCAGCTTACGACGCTGGATACGCCATAGTAACAGTCTATCTAGACATCCAAAAAGCCTTCGACCAGGTCCCCCACGCCTCCCTGCTACACAAACTTAGCACCGTTGGCATCACGGGAACCTTATTTCAGTGGTTTGCCTCCTATTTATCAGACAGGAAGCAAATAACGCAAATAGGGGACATACAATCATCTCCACTACCGATCACTAGCGGAGTCATCCAAGGAAGCGTGCTAGGCCCCATCCTTTTCTTACTATACATCAATGACGTCTTCGGCGCCATATCTCACGGTAAGGCCTTCCTCTTCGCGGACGATATAAAAATCGCGTACACATTCCCCACCTCTGCAAAAACCCTTGCCTTTCACCAGATTAAGCAAGACCTAGATTCACTGACTCGCTGGTCAAACAACTCTGGCCTTAGCTTCTCCTCCACAAAATCCTGTATAACTTCCTGCCGCTGCTCTCTCCCGGCTGATGCTTTCACAATTAATGGAAATCCTATTACTCATTCTACAGAGATCAAAGATCTCGGCCTCAGATACTCCTGTACTTTTAGCTTTTCCCACCAGGTGCAGTATCAGGTAGCAAGAGCGCGCAGGCTCAGTTTTTTAATACTGCGCTCCTGCCACCTTCCAGACACGATGGTCGCAATCTTTAAGCTATGCGTACGACCAATCGTGGAATTCTGTACCACGTTCTCCTCCCTCTACACCCAAAGTTGCAGACTCGCAATTGAAAGCGTCCAACGCTCATTTACGAAAAAACTCTTTCCTCGATCAAACCCCCTCTCTTACCGCTCCCGTTGTCAAATCCTAGGCCTTGAACCACTATGGCTTAGACGGTTAAAATTGAATCTAGCTCTCTTGCACCGTTTACTGCATAAGAACGCCTTTATAGCAGAGGCTAGACCAAGCATAAACTCACAACCTCGCTACAGGCTCCGAAACTCCTGCAATCTCTTAGTGTGTCCCCCAGCCCGCACAAACCTACGCCACTACTTCTTTCTAGTTTATTACGCTCGCATCTGGAACAGCCTTCCTGAGCAGCTGCGAAGCATCACGCATCACCATGCTTTTTCTCAGTCTGTAGACAAATTCCTTACCTGTGAAACTGCTGCCGTCTTACTTAATACTCAACTACCCTCTGACCTCCTCTACGAATCAGGTCCAGTACGCATATGAGTCAAGCGACGTTACAGTTAATAGGCAAGTAAAGGATCTTGTTATCATTTCTTCCCATCCTCTTGACCCGCTTTAAGCTAACCAAGGACTAAATGCCAACTTGATCTAAATATTCAGCGTTACTGGCCTGGTTGTTTTCTTTTTATCTTTTTCCCCGTACAAACTTACACCTCGTACTAGTCTAGTTCCTGCACCGGACTACTCTATAAACTCTGTCTAGCGTCTATTGTTCTCGTCCAAACTCTACTGGCAAAAACCAAATCAAAATTAGCTATTTCTTCCCCAAATCACTGCACGACTTACCTACTAATTCTAATTATGCTGTGTTACTGGCCTGATTGTTTTCTCCTACCCCGCCAACTTTCTCTCCTGGTATATATCCAACTCATGTAATAAACACTCGATAACCAGTTAGCTCAGAATACCATTCCCGCCAGCCCTTACACACCTGATTCCCATGCGACACTTTTGCGCGCTTATATCGGCTTTTACTAGATCTCTTGTAATATAATACCGTATATCAGCGAAACCAGCCCCTGGTCGCTAGCCTACTAAGTAAAATTTATCTACTCCCTACTCCATGTAATCGCTTGTCATCATCCTAGTTGCATCAGACGCCAAGTTTTTCTTTCTATGTATATAAATGCATATTATCCCATTTCATATCCCCTCAAACTCACTATGTTTTGCAAATCTCCTCCCATCCCCTCACCTTCCCAAGCCTTAAACTTCGGAAGTGCCCGCTTTGGACGATCTGGTTAGCTGATCTCCACTCCACCTGGCCTATGATCTACAACTCCGGGATCACCAAACGGACCAAGAAAACCTGCAGTCCCATATCGGCTTCGTTCGAGCTTGTTTCCTCGACCAGGCTGAAATAAATACCGCTGCTCAATGAACTGCATACCCAAGACGAATTATCTCAAATGTTGACGTCCGTCACGGGGCTGTCCAAAAACTGAAGCATGTCAGGCCAATGATGGCACGGCACTGTCATACTCAGTTTGATAGCACACCCGCAACTGTTCCATTCCTCCCCTAAACCGTGCCCTCTTGCCTACTCGTTTCATTGACCCCAATCGACCACCATGACATTCATTCCAACCTATTGGACTACTCGTTCAAATTCAACCACCGCTGTGTTCCCATCAAACCTAACCCCTACACCTGACTTCCCAACAACAGAGCAACCAGTGAGTCTGCTTG